TTTAACATAACTGTACGATAGATGTTCAACCTGATTTCGTTGCATTGATGGACTGAACTTCAGCTTCATAATTAAGTGTTTGCAGGGTGACAGTTAAGGATTAGCGTTTTTGAAAAACTATTTTTTGGTATAATGGACCAAGAAGCTTTATTAGTGTTGGGTTTTTCCATTGTGTTTGTAATGGCAGACAGAAATGGTTGGAAAACAAATAGTTCATAGAGAACGAATGAAACTAAGGGATTTTATGAGGGAGGGAACCCTTTGTTCTGACTTGAGTTTCCCTTACTCCATTTGTAAACCAGTTTCATGAATTTCACTCATTGCTTTAGTGAATGATAATAGTGATTTAGTAGCTATTACACCAGAGATAGTGTTCTTTCAAGGGTACTCATGTATTTTCCGCAACAATTTCAAAATTCAGGTTGTCTTATTAATGGTAAAATATAGAGTAAATATACAAATTGGTCCCTGAAAGTGACACATTTTAGTCGTTTTTGGAAACTACTTGGTGTCTAAAAGTGTCAGTGTGTACAATTTATTCCCTGAATTTGTTAATTTTACTCTTCATTTGACTCCTGTTTTGCTTACATTTTTGTGAGAGAAGGACCAAAATGTGAGTAAGTTAACATGTTTGTGGACTAAATTGTACAAAGTAAAACTTTCAGGGAAAAAATTTAAATATATGCCACTTATAAGGAAGGATCTAATTAAATATTTACTCTAAAAGTACAGAATATTTTATTTTAATATCTAGCTTTGTTATTGTTTATGTTTTGATTTATAATCTATTGTCTGGTTAGGCACCCAAAACAGGACGAGTGCATGGCGGAAAATCATCTAGATCTCCTGGAGGGCTTCCTCACCAATCATCTGGTGGTCAGTGGGTCAACATTGTCAAATTTTTGGATTCACTCATGAGCAAACTTTGTGGAAATCATGTATGTTGTGTATTGTTTCAATGTTCTTTACGTACTGTGTTTGGTCAATTAATTCTGTATATTTGTTCTGCCCATTTCATTTTTACTTGAAAAACCTTTCGTTCCACTGGTTCTTTTTTTTTTTCCCTATTATTTTACCCTGTGAATAGGAGAGTAATAAAACAGAACTATATGAGGATATCTGCTTTTGCCTGAGATATTGTATAATTTTCTTTTGACTAGTGACATTTGGGTGCCATCTGAAACGGGGGCTGAACAATAGTACAATACTGACATGACACGTTTATGTGCCTACTGAAATTTTTCCAAACCAAAATGACACAGGGAAATAGAGTGAGATGTAAACCATAGGATTCAAATGAGGTGGATGAAATGGAGTGCTTCAGATGCTATCTGTGATAAAAAAAAATGTAGCACTCAAGCTTAATTGAAAATTTAATCCCTCAAGGAAAAAAAAGTTCAACGTTAGAGCTGAGAATTTTACATTTGATAAATGTGCACACAGGATGGGATAAGAAAGATTGCATCAGCGAGAGTTGAAGTAGCACCCCTATTGTTGGAAAGTTGGTAGAATTTTGCCTTTGGTGGTTTGTGCATGTGTGTAGAAAAATTGTTGAAGTCTTTGTTAGGAAGGTTGATTAGATGGAGGGTGATAATTCAATAGCTAGAGGTAGAGAGACATGGAAAACTATAGGCCAAACAGCTCAGAAGGATTTAGTTTTAAATAGTTTGTATACAAACATGATTTACAAATTACAATAGGAAATTATTTGCAGCATCATTAGATTCATGTAACTGGCACACCTAGTGGGAGAAGGCTACAGTTCTGTATATGTACCATGCAAGGTGTTGTGTTTAATCCATGATGCTGCAAGTTTGGTCATGCAGTAAGTGGCTATACTAGGTGAGGCTTGAAAGATGAAAGGGATCTTATATGAATCTGGATTGGTAATTTTTTCTCCTCCAATACTCAGGTGGCTGCATTTAAAGGAGTAAATTCCTACTTCCTAGTAAAGCGAGTTGAGGGAGAATGGAATGCAATGATGGGAACACGTCGTGATCAATTAATATATTGCATATATTTAGTGGTTACAATGGTTGTTTTCTTTTTGTTCCATTGAACCTTTGTTGTGACACAATTCAACTTCCGTGTCCAAAACTAATGTACATTCAGGTGGTAAGCTTTGAAATTGTACACTTGCAAGCTATGATATCTGATGCATTCTACTTGTCCACTTTGTAGTTAGGACTGAGGAACATAGGAAAACAAATAAATGATGATATGATTTCTATGGTTATGGATTTAGCTATTAGTGCTAACACCATTCACTGTGATCTAATCCACACACCCCCCCCAACCCCACCCATTTTTTCTTACCTAAAATGTGCATGTTCAGGTGCCATCCTTCTTCATCCGTAAGCTAGTTACCCAGGTGTTTTCCTTCATCAATATTACACTCTTCAACAGGTAAAAACCATGATTACATGACAGGATTCTTTGTAGCTTCAAATCACTAGCTTTGTTTAATTGATTTTCCTTTGTTCCTTACTTTTATCTTCATTTGTTAGTCTTCTTTTGCGTCGTGAATGTTGCACATTCTCAAATGGTGAATATGTGAAGTCTGGTCTAGCAGAACTGGAGAAATGGATAGTCAATGCCAAAGAAGAGGTAGATTGAATTTGCTGATACTTCTTTGAAATTTTAGTTTTATGGGTTTGACTAAGCGCACTTGTGAAATGTAGTATGCAGGAACATCTTGGCATGAGCTGAATTATATACGACAAGCTGTTGGGTTCTTGGTATAAAAACTGCCTTATTTTTGGTTGGACTTCTAATGGTGTCAAACAAAACTGTTATCTCTTATCTATGCTGTCCTTTGTTTGAATTTTGCAGGTAATACATCAGAAGAGGAAGAAATCTTTGGAAGAAATTTGTCAGGATCTTTGTCCGGTATGATTATCTTGTAGGGTTGCATTTCTATTCTTTATTACTCTTTTTTCTTTCCCATATCAATTTTATTTTTGTTTTCATCATTCACACAGACTTAATTTTCAGGGTTACCACCACGAACTGTGGGCCATGAATATTTGATTCCAGTACTTTTAAACTGATTAAATGTTTCTAATTGATTAAACTCCTTACTTGGGAGTTGGGGATAAAAGAAGTTTGATAACAAGACCTATATATGGATGTTTCTATGATAGAACATTGGAAATCAGGTTACTGTTGTTGAATTTCTACGAAAACTTCTATCCCTTTTACTGGTATTGAGATGATACCAGTGCTAGAAATGAATATGTTTACGCTTTTCTGGAGATCACAAAAACAAGGGGGTAAACCACGAAAGAAATAACAAGGATCGTGGGGACAATTCAAGGGGTCTGTCTCTTCCTCCCATTCTTCTTTACTCCTCATTTTTCCTTTGTCTTCACACACTTTCCATTCCACTCTCCCCCTCTCCAACCAATTCCCTCTCTCCTCTTTATTGCCTTCTGCCACATGTGTGGACTGTTGTATCCTTGATCCCCAGAGTTATTCACATCATCCCCACTGCCTATGCGGACTCCTGATCCTCCTTTTCGTCCCATATATTAGCATATGTCTGATGTTTTGCATGCACTATGAATACAATTTTCTTGACATTAGGCATATAACATTGGGAGAAAGGCTAAATGCATTTCTTCAACAGGCATTGACTGTGAGGCAAATCTACCGAATCAGCACTATGTACTGGGATGACAAGTATGGAACCCAAAGTGTGTCTAATGAGGCAAGTTGTGTTCTTAATTGGTTCAAAATACAACTATAACGGTATTTTCTTTAGAATTCTGAACAAAATATGGTGAGCAGGTAGTTAGTGAAATGAGGGAAATTGTCAGCAAGGACAATCAGAATCTGACCTCAAATTCTTTCTTATTGGATGACGATCTGAGGTACACTGATTTTACCATCCAAGTTCTTTTGACTTGCATTTTTAACACGCGATTGCTGGATGAATCAATATGAATATTTGCCTCGCTTTCTTGATTTTTCTGGCCAGTATCTTGATTTTCCTTGTCTTAACCATAATTTCTTGTTGCAGCATTCCATTCTCTGCCGAAGATATAGATATGGCAATTCCTGCCATAGATCTTGATGAGATTGATCTTCCAGAATTTGCGTCTGAATATTCTTGTGCTCAGTTTCTTAGTTCACATCAGAAGTAATTAATCTACAATTTCAGATCGTTACTGAAGCTTGACATTTTGCTTCAATATTTCATCTCTGGATTTAGAGGACAACGATATCCACATTGGAAACACGTTTCTCTTTCCGTGGACAGTAATCCTGGTTGTCATCGGATTGTATGTTACTATCAGTTTGTGCAGGTCACAATATCAAAGATATAAGAGTGATGATTTTTTGATTTATTTGTAATTTTCCCAAAATTACTAGGTCAACCAGCGTTTTGTAATTAGCCAAAGTATAGGTGACATCGTAAGCTTGACATGCTAGTTTTATTTATTATTGTGCAGCCCATCCTCCTAGGTGTATTTATTTTGTTTTTATGTTCTATTATTTTATGTAGGAATGCAATTGTAACTAGGCCCTGGCAAAAATGAAATTCATTCATTGATGTAAATATTAGTCACATTAAATTTCTCTCATGCGAATTCTAAATTAGTTTTAGATGCAGTGTCTTCAGATGTAGGGCATGCATTCTTCCAGGTTAAAAATGTCATTAATAAAACCTTTCCTTTTGTAGATACACTGATTGACATTAAATTGGAATGGACGTGATCATTAATTTGGTTTTGGCTTGAGTGTTGCATAGTTTGGCAGCAAATGAATAAATGAATGATCACAATTCAATTTTCGTTTTTTTTTTTTTTTGCTGTTAATACCGATCCTCAACAGCCAATTCTGAAATTTGTGTTTAGCACAAGAATTGAAAAATGACAGACTATTAAAGGCGGTTTGTGATGTACAATCCTGGTGTGGAATAGAAATACGAGTGATTGGAAAGACTACAAAATCTTGAATGGTGTAGGCTTGTTTAGCCTGCAAAGATCAGGGATGACGATAAAAAGGCCTTACCAGTAGATGTTCCGCTTTGTTTCGTTTTTGCAACATTTACATATTATGTAGCCAGTCAATGGCAGCGTTACACTTGAAACAGAATTTATTTATTAAGTGGACGCTTTTGCCAATCTGGTAGGCCTGGCTATGTTCATAAGGAGCTTAAGGAAACTTAGTTTAGCATTTATATGGACATTGATTTTCCATCATTATACAAGGACAAATAAAAGGAGTTAATGCTCAAATGGCCTGCCATTTCATATCCTACTGTAGTTAATTTGAAGATATCGTACGCAAAGATTCGTCTATGGTTTTCTACTTCTTGCTCTCACAAATGGACTAGAGCAAGATATTCATTCAATTGAAGTAAAAATAAAAAGGTTAAACATAGTTTGTTTACTATGATCCATGAGCTGCTTCATTTCCAATGGAGCTTGACATCTTTATTGTTGCAGCAATGGCACAATGGTGCTGTAGATCAGCCACGGAAAATGATCGCCAGGAAGAGAAATTCCTCTGCAAAGGTGAGGATGGAACTGCAGCAGAAGATGACACTCTGTATCGTGGATGAAGTGGTGGTAGAGGTGAGGGTAACGGATTTGAGCTGGAAGTAGAATCCTCACTTGTAATACTGCTGCTGCTTTCAGAGTTGTTGATGGCAACTGCAAGAGCCAGAGCACTTTTACTCAAGCTGATTGATCTCTTAGAAATCCCCCCACCATTGCTTCTTAAAGAGCAATTTCGATTCTTGTCCCACACATGACTGAATGCCATCAAATTCCTACGCTTTCTGCTGTAAGCATTTTCTGGCTTTGCTATGTCTTTCACTGATGGTGAGGAGGTAGCATCAGCCAAGCTCGTGAATGATTTGGACTTGCCATTATAAAAGTTTGAGATGCCTCTCCTGCACACCCATCACAAAGACAATCCATGAATGAAACTTATGCAAGAACACACACACATCAAATTAACAAGTTATTACTACTTTTGGGAAAATCTTACATGATATACAATTTATAGCTGAATTTTCGAAACACGGGGAGACAGATTCCACACCCAGAGCCTAGTTGATCTTAATGATTACCCTCCGATTACCAAATTTCATTTTTCAAAACCCAAAAAGTAAGCTCATAAAACGATTGGCATTTTAGGCACCCTAGTTTAGCTAACGTCCCACAAAAATGCAACTTTCCAAACTCTCCCTTCCCAACACGAAAAATCAGAAAAGAAACAGAAACAATATTAATTTGAACTAAGGACATGGAAAAACATCAAGAAAAAAAAAAAGCAATCCTATTATGTGAATAAAAGAAGTAATAGAGGTGAAGGGTCTAAATATTAATAGATAAAAGAGAGTATTGATCTAAGAAAAGGGTAAGATAGAAATGGAAATGCAGAAGAAAATACCTTATGGGAAGAACCTCTTCCAATGTCTCCATGGCGTGCAAGGGTCCCTTATAGACACTCTCTGCCTCGTTTTCTCCATCACATTCCCCCATTGATCTCTCCGACGACACATCGCTGTTCCTTCCGATCGAGGACGACGACGTACAGCACTGCTCCTCGGCCACATCCTTCCCCGGCGCGTGCAATAACACGGAGGCGCGTGGCCCCACCGTTTCAAGACCCATCATCAACTCCCCAAACTGAACACAGAGAGAGAGTGTGTGTGTGTTAGAATGAGGATGAGATTGGGATAGACACAAACGTAAGACAGAGAAATCTTTATTGATTTGTTGGCATATTTATAATTTTGGCAAGAAAATAATAAGGTTCTAGAATATTTACCTGCTCTTTTTTTTTTTTGGAGGGTAAAAATTAAATAGATAAGGTTTAGGGTTTAGGGTTTAGGGTTTAATTATTATTATTATTATTATTTGGCCTTATCCTCTTCCACTGGATGGATGCTAAAAAAGGGTTCCCTTACCTTCCTTTTTCTTTATTTTAATTAAAAATGAGCTGTGATTCAGTCCTTGTTCTGTTGGTTCCAACCACTTGATAACCCTTACGAAGTCAAACACGTTTTTTTTTTTTTTACCATTATCAATTTTGCATTTTTCGTAAATTATCCTTCTTTATTTCCATTCAGATCTGCGATTTTTTTTTTCAATTGTAAGATTTTGAAGAAAAATATATTTATACGCTTTTTTTAATTATAAACTCGATTTATGATCTATGCGTTTGTTTTCAAAATCTCGAGAGATCGTTATGGTCAAAAAGTCTTTATGACATGATCCTAAAGAATTTATTTAATGACACGTTATGCATTGCATAACCAACTTAAGACATAAGTAATGCTTATATCTAGGGTTTTTTTTTTTTTGTCCATATAAAACACTTATTAAAAATTAATATTAATTTTCAGAAGTTATATTTTAAGATTATAGAAAACGTGTTAGTTGCTTACCGAAAAAGAAAAAAATGTCTTAATGTATATCATTTGTAGTGTAATAAGTCAATAATGTTAATATGCCTTATTATCTTTATTTTTAATATTTTTTTATATCATTGTGCTTTAAGAATTTCAGAAACACCATAGAATAATAAATTCAAATGTGATTGTTTTTGTGCAATAGCATGAAAGGAATACTGGGCCATTTATTTAAACTAAACTAAAAATTTGTGATATATTATTTAGACTTCTATACTTTTTTATTTTTAACTATTAAATAATTAATAAATTAAAAACTAATATTATTATTATTATAAATTTTTAAATATATTTTAAATTAAAAATAGTTTAAAATTAAGGGCTGGAAAATTCAAATGACAAAGAGCCTAACTCTCCTTTAAGAAAAGTTTTGATTCCAAATTTTATTAATAAAAAAGTTAATAACTAAGAAAACACAACCTCATTAGATGTATCTTCCTAATTTAATTCAAACTAATTGAGTTTTAAAATAATTATAAAAAACTTCAAAAAAGAAAGAAAAGGTTCATTTTGCCCTTTAGAAACGCTAACCATGGAATGGTGTCCATTAAGGACTCAATGCAAAGTATAATCATACATACATGGGACAACTTCCTTTCATTATTACATGGCCTTGGATATGTTCCTCATCAATGTCATTTTATTTTATTTTCTTACATTTATAATAATTAATATCAAAAGTATATACAATAATAACCGATAATTGAAACAATGCTGTTTATTGTATTTAGTATAAATTTCATGACAAGAGTGAGATTGATTAGAAGTTATATTTATCTGATATATGTAAAGTAAGTAAACCGTACACGTATTGGAGTATAGTAGTTTATTAAAAAAACAATAGTACACTTTTAATTATTAATTTAAACTTTTTAAAATTACAAAAATATAAGAGAGGGTCATTAAATTAGAGTTAATTATATTTTTTATAATAATTTTTAACAAAAGTAACCAGTAGTATTATGTTATTTTTACTATTTTTAGTGTAACTTTAAATTTATTATTTTTTTATAAACAAGAATGAATCAATCTAAAAACACATAATCCAGAAGGAAAATATCCTGAGTATTCTTGGTGGAAGAAAATTTGCTCAATGTGAACACATGTAATCCATTTAGTATAAGGAAATGAAAATGAGAAAATAGATACAAAAAATAAAAGTGAAGAAGCATCGAATGTGGTCCAAAATAAGAAAACTCTTGGTTGGGAAGCATGTCTGAAATTTTCCAATCCTATTATTATGTGATTCACATTTTAATCAAAATTTCCAGTACAACGTTGGATGCGGTGACGTGGTGATGATGAGGATAGGGTGGGGTTTCCATTTTCGTTAAGCTTATCCACAACAAAAGTGGGGTGGGACCCTTCTCACAATTTCAATTTTTTATTTTGTTAATTTTTCTAACTTAAAACGATATGTAATATAAAAATAATAATGATACAAATTAATTAAAGAAAATAATATTTAATATTATTATATATTAAAAATTGTTATATATAACTTTCCATTATTTATTCAAGGACACGCATTAAAAAAAGATATTTTATTTTTATCACTCTTCTCGTATCTCTAATTCTTGCTGCTCCCAACTCTCTTTCCCTTTAATCATGTTCTACCCACTCCCACTAGGAATCCAATAAATAAATTTCACCTTTCTGTTACCTGCGATTAAAGAGTGCAGTGGTACATTTGACAGTAAAATAAAACCTTTTCTTGTTTGGAGGAGTGCTTAAGGAACCTTTTTAAAAAAATTAATCTGAATATTGTTTAAGTTTTGAAAATTTCGTACTGTTAGTTAATTATATATTACCATTTTATCAGAGTAACTCTGAGGTAATGATGATGCAATTTAAAATTTCTTAATGTAATTTTTGAAGGTGAATTATGAGTGCCTGATGTCTTATTATATGGGTTGAACTAAAAAAAGGAGGAAATTACAAATGGGTTTTCATAATAAAAGATGATGAGGAAAGGAAGGATAGGAACGTGGGAGAAGGAGAGACACTTAAACTTATCAGATAACGCGTCATTTGAAGCACGTGGAGGTGGTGGGGAGTCACAATCAACAATCTACCACCTTTTGTTGGTGTTGGTGTTGGTGGTTAACCATCACCCACTGTCCAAGACCTTTCAATCTTCTAATGTTCAGCACAAGTATGCTTCAAGAAAATAGGATAAACAGTCGAGTACTTTTTTTAGATGTTTCGATTCATTGGAATTTTGGAATTCCAAAAAGATTACATAAAGATTGTTCTTGTTCAGTTTTTTTTCCTATACTTAATGAAATTTCGATTAAAAAACAAGTTTAATGATTCGAATATTCTTTATTATTGTTGTTGTTGTTAAGACTTAATGACCCAACGTGGGCCACCTTAACTTATTTATTAATCAGCCTCCTTATTCTTTCTTATCTGTTTTACTTTCCCCAATTCGAATCTAGGGCATTGTACTGTTCGTTTGGGACATTGTCCTATTTCCATTGGGCCTAGTTTTGGGCTTTCTGCAATGAAGATCAGTTGCCCAAAAACAATGTTACCTGTAAAGATATCTGGTCTTTAAAATAAAATATAATAATTGACCAAAAAAATTAATAAGAAATGCTTTTTATCTCAATTCTAAGATCCATCTCATTAATTACTAATTTTTTATTCCATATTTTTAATTTTATTATAAAATTTATGTTAATATACCACCCACTCATTCTCTATTTAACTATTTAAAAGTAGGAACATTTTTAAAAATATAATAATTAATTTCATTGAATGAATTAATTATTTATTTTTATAAAAAGGATCAAAGTAGTCATAAGCATTTTAGTTGTGCCAATTCATTAAAAAGAGCTAAAACATTTTAGTTTAAACAGAGTTAAATATTTATAATATAATATTTAAGTATAATTCTTATCAGCTGTACCAAATCCTGCCACAGGTCCTGATGAGATTGATCTTCCAGAATGTGTACGAATATTCTTGTGCTCGGTTTCATAGTTCACATCGAAAGTAATTGATCTAAAATTTCATGCTCGCTACGAAATCAAAGCTAATGGTTTCGAGGCTTGAAATTACAGCGCAGAAGCAATCCCATGCAGAAATCTGCCAAAGCAATTAAATCTAAAACCGTTGCTGTGTATAGCATTTCCCGTTTGTATCATCGAGAAAAGCTAGTTAAACGCATTTCCACACTGAATATAAAGGTAGGAAAGAAATTTATCATTACTTATTTGCTTGACCAGACGGGTACAAATTTCTTACCTCTTTCTTTCATTGTCTAAAATAAGATTATACACCAAACAGGAGAGATAGGGGCATCAAAGCGATGCATATATAAATTAATTGGAACAGAAAGATTTTTCCAATGACAACCCAATTTAATCTATCTATCCTAAGACTCCTATGTTTCAAAGTAATTCCTGCAAATGATTTTTAAAGCAGATTGAATTCAATTTTATGAAACAACTGCTTCTGCTATAAGCTAGGGAATATGCTATGCCACCCAAGTCCAATTGTCCATTCTAAAAGCAGGACAACTGGATAAAAATGAATCGGTTTAACACCTCGTAATAATATTTGCAATGTTCATGCCGATCTCTTTCTTAGTTTGTTCGCACACGGGGACATCTCCAATGTACATGTCAAAGAAAGCCCCTGCAAGTTTAAATGTTAGAACCTCAGTTCAGTTTCATACTTTAGACAAAAGAAATACAGAAATTCAACTTGGTTCAATGCAAGCACATAAGTTGTAACGAGACTTACGACACAAATCTTTGCTGTGGACACTTCCTATCTGATTGCCACTAACTGTATGGGTAAAACCAACAACGGTTTCAGTTGCGAACACAATATTTCTCAATAAATCCAGGTTACATACAGAGATACTACTAGGAATTAAGCATGCCTTCAAACATCATAAGAGAAAAGACAGCAAAGAACTGAGGGCTTTTCCGTCTACCCTAAGGCACACAGTATAAACATAGTTTTAAAAGTCCATTGTTTGCTTACTCACTTTCAGTGATCAGACGTCCATCAACTGTTCGTTTGAACTCAATCACAGTTCCCTGCAACATTGCAATACAGCTAATGTAACTCTGACATCATTAGCAATTTAGTATACAGAAAGGGAACATATTGATAAATCAATTACCAAAGGTATTGCGATATTCTCTGTAAAGTATGAACCAAATGTCCTTAGGCAATGAAAGTCTGTGGACGGATTTGTCTGGCCAAAGGGGGATGGGAGGTTCGAAGGAAGTTAGAAATAAGAACTAAGCCAGTTTAGAAACAATAAAAAATGATTATCCAAGAGGTAGAGATAGAGTACCTTCACTAATCGAGCTCGAAGTGATTTCTCAAAAGCACTGCAAAAAGGAATACCAGTGAAAGAAAAAAAAAAGATCAGTTGCATGTGCACTTGCCGCTTCAATTTTATAATCAATTATATGCTTATTATAATGAGACAGCAACACTGCATTAAATGATGTACTATATGCCAAACATTATCATCCAAGGGTTCCAAAAATTACTCAAATCTAAATCAACTAAATGATGTACTATATGATACATGGTTCAGTAAATTTTTTTGAGGTAAAAAGAAATCTCAATATTGGTAAATCAAGATACGTATCGGCATGCTACAATACTTTTTTAAGACTAAATATTTTTTTATAGAAAAAAGGAATGAAGCACAACCGGAAGGGTAAGAAATTTCTAAAACAGTGATGGAATGCCAAATCTAATTATTAAAGAACAATATAAAAGCCATACAATTAGAAGAGAAAATTATTACTTACTCTTTCACGCTGTTAATTTTCATACCCCTGCAATTTACAACAAGCCTAACAGTCATATTGATATCCTCCCTGCAATGTAAAAAATCAAACAGATCCATCAAAATTAAGATTTAAGCAACCAACGAAATCACTTCGTTAAGTTTGCAAATCTCAGAATATATAATATTTAACCAAATCCTGTATGAGGATATCCAATTTATCAACCCAACTTGGCTGTTTATATTACTTACAAATGTTAATAGAAAGAACTCCACAAATTTTCACATGTACTTTCTAATAATTTGATGTGTAATCATCACCGAGAAGAGAACTCTTTCATTCATTAAAATTTTATAGATATAAAGATTAAACCCTCACTTAGTCCTTGACATCATAAGCATTGTTCATTTAAGCCCTAACTTTATAAAATCTTCAGTATTTTGAAAAAAGTGATTCACTTTAGTCCTTTTCTACTTCATTTACCAGTCATTTAACACTGAAAAGGACTAAAGTGAATGGTACAACGAAAAGTCAGGGACCAAAATAAACAATTTTATAGACTAAAAAGTTTATTCAATATACGAAAAAATTGAGCATATGATGTTTGAGACCTGAGTAGATCCTGGTAGAAATCATGTCGATTATTCAGTTCATCAGCTGAAATTGATGCATATTTTGGGCCCAATTTCTCACAGAGGGAATATGGATGAATATCTGTTAAATAGAGATTGAGAGTGACTCAATAATGGGAGGTACTTTTGCTAACAAAACTACACAAGTAGCATCAATAATGAGTCTTTTTCTCTTCAAAAGGAAGAAGAAATATAATTAAGTAATCAAGAGAACTTACAAAATCCAAAAGCATAGACCTTCAGTGACTTGATTTTAACAATTGTCATGGTTCTGGATCCTGTTCCAACCAGGACCTGAAGTAAATTTGATTGATTAGTTTACGTTAAAAAAATAAGGTAAAGATGGAATCTCAAACAAATCATGTGGTAATATGCCAATAAAATTAATTTAAAAGGAATAGGAAATTAACACAAGTTACCAAATCATACAACTGATGATTCATGTATTACTACATATCTTGCAAGGAATTGAGAAACAATTTTAATATTCTCTTATAGCCTAGTAACTTCCCTTAAGTCATTTTTCAGTAGCTACTACTTACCAATGTAAATGGTTCATGGTTGAGTTTGGCTAACTGGAAATTATTTGGTTGGTAATCAGTTACTTCAGTAATAATAAGTCACTTTGTGGCTCAGTAAATTTCATTTTCTTCTCTCGTATTTCTCTACTTGCTACCTGTTCTCAAACAAAGGTAGTTTAGCTGTCTCATCCTCACCCTTTTCTTTTTTCTGCGGCTTTTTCTTTCCTCAAAAAATCAATCCCTAAACTTCTCTTTACTTTCCCTCAGTCAGTTCAATTTTGATCATTCTCAAAACTTTAGTCAAATCTTGCGCCTATTTCTGATCCATAACTCGCATTTGGAAGCAAGCATTTCCACTGGGTGCCTCAACTGTTCTCCCTACACCCTGCCACCCACCTGCGACTATATTCTCTCTATATGTACATCTCCTTGATGGCTTGACGTGATGGTAACCCACTCCAAAACACTAGCTAGAATGATATTTAAATTTCTAAACAACTATGTATCTGATAACCAGCTTCAACCACTAGACATCGATCAAGCAAGGAATCAAACAATGGTATCTTAACTAAAACCGAAATCAGTATTATGGAGCACAGAAATTGATCATATAAAGTGCAAAAGGACCAAAAGAACCAGAAAAGAAAATTTGCAAACTGAAGATTAACCTCAGAGTTGAAGCTGGAATTCTGCTCTCCAGCTGCTATATTGTCCAGAACTAAAGGAAATTCAATGCCAGTTTTAGGCTCCACTGCAGGTTTTGCCTGGTTCAATTCCCCTAACAATAGACGAGGACATCCTTGGCGTTCAACCTCCTTAGGCAATTGGTCCATGGCTCCATGCATTTGCACTTCAGGATTCTGCAATGGGCCAGCTAGTACATTTGACGACCTACACATAAAATTCAAAAACATTAAAAAAAAATACTTAATTGTTGCATAATCAAGAAAGAAAATGTCATACAGAGCCACAGTCTACGACTATATGATGAAAAGTGATGATATGGAAGGGAATGCAATTCTCAAAGTTGAAAGGAACAAAACGAAACATGATAGAATCTATTACATTGCATTACACCCAACACTCTCATTTTTCTCTCCCCCAATTCAGCAATGTATGATGTAACCACTGTAATAAAAGTGTTTTGTTAACCTCAACCAGTTTAACTAATCAAAAATAGTAAATTTTTATTAGAAAAGAAGTCATTTATTACATTAAAGTTGTGCGATAAATGCTTCTTTTTTCAATACAATTTTCTTATTATAGTTGCTTAAAATAACCAATCAATAGCACGTTAATTATATTTCATTCCATTCAATAATATTAAAACCCACCCATCTCATCCTTAGAAATCCCAACACAGCCTAAAACCTCAATCAAATCAATACCAATTTTTTAGGGCTTGTGACATACAGATTCTGAATTGGCGGGACCAATGCAGCAGCAAGCGATAGAACAGGGTACGATTGGATCCTCTTAGCTTCTCTCCATATCACCCTCATCGCAAAACTCGAAATCTTACCCAACGTAACAGGCGCAAAAGGTTTCCTCTTCGATCTAAACGGAAACCCAAAACCACTCACATTCGTCACAGCCTTCACCTGCATACTAGAACCACCACGCAAGGAACGCGCTATGTCCTGAGCCACATTGGAACTCGACGCGCCAGAGAACCACAACAACAACGCGCCCGCTAGTCTCGACATGTGTCCAAACGCTTCCTCCAGTGCCGAACTTCCTGGAACGTAGAAGCTTTTAGAATTGTCCACAAACGAATGCAGCAAATGCGACCCCAAAAATTTGCGAAACACGAAGGGATCCAACGAAGAAAATAAATCCGAATCCGAATCCATCGAAGATAACCAATCGTTCTTCATCGTCGATAACCAATCACGAAATCACAAGATCGATTGAACAATTTGCAGAGTTTTTTTTTTTCTCGCCGAAAGGAAAATCTGAAAATCAGAAAAAAAAAAAAAAACGAAAACGGAGAAGGAATGTTTGGATCGGGGAATTGAATGCGAAGCAAACGGTTAGGCTTTCGGCGACGTGATTCGTGAATGTGGCCGTAAACGACGTCGTTATCGGCGAAACGAGAGAGAAAGGGAAAGAGACGGAGAAAAGAAGGGAATATGCTTTGTGTAATTGAAAGGGGTGTTGTGTCAAGGTGGATTCAAAGGCAATCTTTTGGGGACAAAAGTGGAAAATTGGAAAATGTGAAGCCACTTTTTTGTCACAACACGTGCGTTTGAGGGTTCAGTGACGCTGAGGTGTTTGAATGGGCCACCGTTTTGGACGCAAAATGACTTTTATGTCCTTCGGAATCTTTTGAATCACGTGACGGCTACGAAAACAGCGTCGGTTACGGTCGGTTGGCGCGGCGCCGTGTCGTTAATCTAAGGACTTCCGCGAAACACGAGTAAGTCGCGCAAAGACACCCTTTTCCATTCCCACCTTTCTGTTTACCGTTTCAATTTAAATAATACTTTTTATTGTTTAAAATAAAATAAGATATTGTTGGAAAAAAATATCATAATTTTAATAATAATGTTTTTAAAAGATTTCCTAAATCAAATAAGAAATAATTTGAATTTGAAGATGACAATATGCTTTAAAAACATTATTTAACAGAGAAAATAATTTAAATTATAAAAATAAAGATACAGATATATTTAAAATTGAATTAGATGCATAGATATCAAGGATATTTTTGGAGTTTAGTTTTGGAAAAAAAAAAATAAACTAAGAAGTAAAGAATAAGAGCATGCTTGATTTTTGTTTTTAAAACAGTTTTTTATTTTTAAAAACAGAAAAAAATTTTAAAACAGAAATCAAACGTACCCTAATATTTTTTAAATTAAAAGTTATATAATTTTTATAAAAATAAATAAAAGATTGATACCTTATATTTATATAGTCTACTTTTTTGTTTTAAAAAATTATAAAATTAGAGAATGATTTATGAAAAATTTTCCCTTCTCATTTGAATTAGAAATTTAATTTAGACAGAGATGTCAAATGATAACTGGTTTTAATAAAAAAAAAAGAATACAAGAATTTAAATTAAAAATTAAAATCAAGGAATTATGAAGAATGTTACTCGTAGGATGTGTGTGAAGGTCAACAGAGAAAAGTACATAATATAGTAAGTGTGCTAATTGAGAGACAGCGAATCACTAATCACTAATCACGTCACTCTCCAAAGTGAAGATTCACATTGATAATTTAGTAATATATCGTTTTAAATTTTGATTTAATTAACAATACTTAATATTATTAAATTTAAATTAGTTTTGAATAAAATATTTAAAAAAATTATATATAACTGAAGTGAAGAAAAATATACTTATAATCTTATAAAATATCTTAAATAGTTATTCAATATGGTTATTGTAATATCTGTAAATTTTATGGAGAAGGTTAAAAACTATCATTTAAATTTTATTATCATGTTATAATATCTTTTGACATGAAAAACTTACACAAAATTTATTTTATATTTTCAATTTATTAATAATTTTAATTAATTATGAATTACATTTGATTATTTAAGTTTTGAAAAAAGTTCTTTTAAAATTAAAGATACATTCATAGTATTTATAAATATCAACTAGAGTAGACAAAATGAGTTACTCGTTTCTTTCAAGTCAGCCCATTAGGCAGCGTGTTAGGTCAAAAAACTTCAATCTAATATAAACTTACAAAAGCGATGCCTAAAATGAGTAAAATCTAACTTTTTGCAATTTCTTTTAGGTTTAATTCACGTGGAGTCAAACTATAAAAATCAATTTATTTTTAATTTAAAATTTGAAACTCAAGTCCTGTATTTTATCACAAGGGTTTAACTATTTGAAAATTCCTGTCTTGAAGCTCTTATCTAGAAGAGTAAAACGATTCCCTTAATTGGGTATTCATTTTGCCTCATAATATGTATTATGAAGCATATGTCAAGCACGGAAACATAGTCAAAAGAGAGCGTTTACATGTAAAGCATGTGTTGAAAACAATGTTTCATTATCTCTAGCAGTAGCAGCATAGGAAGAATATCCGTCTTGGGTGATATAATGATCTACTTGCCGACCAATGTTCAAACCGAATAGTAAAAGCAAAAAGAATAAAGAAATGCATCAAATCAATCTTAAATTATGAGTATTGATTACTAAACATTGCCTAATTGCTGTAGAAGACTAAAATGAGCATTAAATACTAAAAAGACATTTAACTTTTAAAGAATTAAATTGTCCAGTACTTTAGGAACTAATTTAGTATATTATTTCAAAAGAATATAGGTTAAATCCAGAATTTGACAGCGCAAGCACACGACATATGGCACGTCTCAAAAATAATGACTTGCTTGCACGCATGCACATCATCACACAGCACAGCAACATTGGAAGGCGAAAAATGATCATTAGGAATCATGAATAACAGATATGAAATATATATCATTAGTGATTTTCAATATTATAAAAACATATCACAAATCATGATATCAAATCTTGAAACTTCAGCAACAAATTTTCCCTTTGAAGATGGATATGGAGATCAACTACTAGAAAGGCCCTTTTCCACCCACTCATTCAACAAGATTAACTTGAAACAATAAAATCAACAAATCGATTTAATATTTAGTATACCTGATCCCCTAGTATACCCAAAAATCTGTTCACCTCTTCAATGTAAAAATATTTTATCCCTCTCTTATATAACATATGGTTCACTGTTCATAACAAGCCAGCCTCAAAGAGATTCCTCCGCCTCAAGGTCTCATCAACAAGCTTGAAAGTCTTCTTCACAACCTTCTGATCAAGAGCAGTGGTCCGGTAGATCTTAAAGACCCGGTCCACACGGTCAGGAGCAGTGCTTTGAAAATATGATTCCTCAAATTTTTTCTTCACATACCTGAAAAAATAGTTTATCCAAGTCAACTAGTTGTGTTGTTTATGAAAAATCAGTCACCAAGTACTTGGAATTTCCACTTTTTCCTCTAGGACTCGTTTGATAGACAGAATAAGATATCTTTTCCTATTCTATTATATTTTTAATCTCATTGGAGGATCCAAGTTAGAAATAGACAGGATAGAATAACACCATGTATCTAATTTTTTATTTTAATATGCATTAAAAGCAAAGATAAGAGTCTATCATGCTCTTATCCTAGCATGTTCTTATTCATCTCTCATATCTGATATCATTTCATATACCAAACGACCCTTATAGTAATGGTTTAGTAGTCAAAACCTTCCTTACTATGTCAAATACAAGCATCAACATGAGCACATATTCCCTATTTTTGGTTCCGACGGAAACACAACCAAGATTCCTCTGGCTTGTCATGCAAGAAAGCAGTTGCAGAACAATGTAAAGTAAGAGTATCTGAGTTTGAAAGGCCTTCGTTGGCCAGGATCAAACTACTTTGCCTTCAGCAATGTCCTTTATTTAATATGACTAAGCATAAAGAAGTTGCTTACTCATATGCATGCTCTATCTCTTGTTTCCCTGTTGAAACTGGTTGGTAGTCTTTGAACCACTCACATACATTGAGTGGGACCTACACAATGCAAGACGGTATATTGAAATGATAATAGCCTCCAGCAAGGATAAAATGTTACAATATTCAGATGGTTCTTACTTTCAGGATCTTCTTCTCAAATATGTCAAACTTGTTTAAGAATAACATGAAGGATGTTTTCTGTGTAGAAAAGAAAAGGACATCATTATAGCTATAAATATTAAGTGTCAAAAAGAAGAAAGCTCTGACCGGCATCATATAAAGGAAAAAAGAGAAAGAAAAGGTTGACATAAGAAATTTCCACATAATTGTAGCAGATGTTAAAGTTAAAAGAGACTAAAAGGAAACCTCAAAACATGGTTGCTTCAGGACCCACTCAAAAAGTTCCTTAGTCTCCATCATTCTGTTTTTGTTTTCATCTTCAAAAAGTGTTTGATCAAACCTGGAAGGCAAATGTGATGTCAACACTTCTTTAGCTTCATAAATTTCATAAATACAGTGATATTGGCAGCAATATTGAAAGGATACACGAATTATTTTTTTCAATTAGTAACTAACACCAAACATACACAGCTGCAAGATAAGAATGAGCTTACCCTGCACTTTCGAGTAAAAAAAAATGTCTGATAATTAGCAACTATAGAATAAAAAGGCCAAAGCAATATCAAATAGCATTTGATAAGGCCCAAATCTCCCCCCACCCCCCCAAGTTGTAACCTTCTGATTTGGTGTGCAATAAAATAAAAACAGATGTATATGCAAAAACTTGATTGAGATTTGACAACACTAGATTAAAATAGAGTAATATGACCATACTCGCTAATCGCAGCACAGAATATTACAGCTGAAACTCCTTCAAACAGATGGATCCATTTTCTCCTCTCATTTCTCTGGCCGCCAACATCAAAGAGTCTATAGACTTCACCACTTTTCTTATTTTCTCCAACAGGGCTGTCGAAATAGCAATGACATACCAATTTATGTTATTGATATTTTTTACTCTATATGTCATATTATGATCAAGAAAAAGGTGTAACAAGAGCACATCCTGCTTTGAGTAATAAAAGTGGCTTGATATACATAGTCAATCAGTCACACAATAAGACAAGCATGATTCATCCTCCAACCAGAATAAATGGCAAAGATAATTTGAAAAACATATAAAAAAAAAAAAATAAGCAAGCAAGTAATGCAACCAATTTTAGGTCACTTTTAACTATTCATATGCTTCAACGTGAATATGGATGACATGCAGTCAGGATAACAACAGATAATAGATGAGAATAAAATCATGAGCGAAGAACTCCATTACAGCAATCCAACATGACGACAGGACAAGGACAAAAAACTATTAAAGAACTAAAGGTTTAGGATTTGGAAAGAAAGAAAACAGAGACAGATGGCTCAAAGTAATACTGAAAACATACTTAACAGATACATGTACAATAGTTTTAACCATATTACAAGCAAGCTGAGCCTCACTCACTCTGAAAAACCAACTCGGGAGGAGGATAGCCCCAAGCATTGTAAAAAGCATTTTGACTATATTACTCACTAACATGAAACATCTTAACAAATAGCAAATGTTAAACCATCCAAACACAAATTAGAGGAGGAGCAATGCCGAACCACTCCATTGTCAAACTTGTAACTCAACTGGTAAAACTGTAAAAGTTTAGAATTCCAATTACACAAATAATGTTAATTGTTGGAAATATGTAATTATAATAATGTTGTAAATAGAAAAGTTAATATATTTGTAATTACAGTAGGTAACTATATATTTCAACATATAATTCGTGTATTAATGATTTTTATTATAAATACATGCTTGCCTATGATAGTTTAGACACATGGATTCATTCTATGTATCTCATTCCTCTTCCTTCTCACATTAATCAACAAGTCAGCAAGTCTGCTCAAAAAATAATTTCTGTCCCCAATTGACTAAAAACAGAAATTTTGAAGGTTCGCTACATATTACACTCTGTTTTGAAGTCAAAGGAAACATAAAAAATGCAGCACTTTGAGGGCTCAAATGCCAAAACCAATCAAAGCCTCAGTCTCATCCCTATTCTGCAAATTGACTGAAGCTCAGCCACAGCATAAAGTTCTATTGCCATCAAGCTCAACAGCATGAACCCAACATTGTCAACCTGTCATCCTACTTCTATTGCAACTAAGGCTTTGGTTTTATACAATGGGAAATAACATTTGATACCAGGGAAAGTAATCAGTTCCATTAAATGTATATGGGAAATTCTGCAAGCTCAATATGGTTAGGTTTTTCTTCAAAATCATGTCATTTCCAAAACCACAGTACAAACAAATGTAAACGGCGTTTGGATTCACACTTGATTGGCCACATATCTACAATTACAACACTATTAGTTAATAACTTTTCCATTAACATGATTTTTAAGCATGTTCAAATGCAGTTCCAAACATGCTATAAGTCTGCAAACTCTGTCCATTGTGAACCCAGTACTGTCAACATGTCATAAAGGAGTGCTTAATCTGCAAAATAGACTAGTTTTTCAAACTTAAGGAGAGATCAAACTCAAGATCTATTTTGAATCCCAGTCTCTAGGTCTATTTTGGAACCAAAGTTCTGTTGGTGTTAAGTTCTTGCAATTTTGCTTCTGTTATTCTATTCTTTTCATCTGCTGTTAAAGGAATACATGCATATCTGGAGCAAGTTATTAAAGTGAGAGGATAACTGGATAAGGACTAATGTTTTTCATTGAAATAGAATATCTTGTGATTGGTGGTGTTCAGTTACAACTTGTGACTGAAAACCACCAATTGCAACTAAAAAATTCTAATTTAAACATCTCAAGAGGAGAACAAAACAAGGAGTCAAGAACAGTAACCAGCACTTCTTTATATCATTTCAGTACAAAAATCAAGCCGGTCAGCATGTTTACCTGAACTGGATCTCTACAACGCCAGTGGTACGTACTCTTGCATACAAAACATCCTCCTGCAATTGTAAAAATGAGAGCAGATAAAAATGAAATCAGGAATTAGCCTTAAAATCTATTTAAACAACAAAAATATTATAGATTTTGGATACCTTTGTTGGAACATAATTAGCATCAGACAGCCTCTGTAAATTTTCCATGAAATAATGTGTACATTCTGGAACTTGAAGCTCACTACCACGGGCATATGTCTCCTACAGAAAGTAAAATATGTGGGTCATAATACCAATTAACTGATGCCAAAAAATAACTATGTAATGGGATTAAAGTAAAAGCAACCAAAATGTGCTATGTAGCCACCTGAATTGCTGCATCCTTCCACAGATTCTCTATTTCCTGTGCAAGTTCCTTGGTGAGATATGGGTAATCCAGCCTGCCTCCAATTTCTGATAACTTTTCTCCAATTTCCTGACAGAAAAATTAAGAAAGCTCCATTGAATTTAGAAGAAAAATCTTCGACAAAATAGTTTACTAAGGAACAGATTTCTATAAAGGAGAAGCTTGTCTACAATTGATTATAGTTCTTTGTAATCAATTTTGTTTAACAAAATACCACATCTTAAAATTCTTGACCATACAATATTAGGGGATAATAGAGATGGTAACAGTAAACTACCTTATTTTCATTGGATATAACATACTTCGAAGAATCAACATCATTCTGAGCCAACTCCTTGGATCCATCATGCAATAACTGTTTAAACACATCAAGTGCATGTTAAGAATTACAGTTTTCACAGGTAGCTGCATTAAAACTCAATTTACAGAAAACTATTTTATAACTATAAACAGCAGACACCGCATACTCTGTATTTTTTAAGAGAAAAATAATCAACACACCCTTTCAAGTATTGCATACTTTTATTGTCTGATACACATTAGCATGAACGACTGGTAGGTAGCTTTTTAGCTCTGCCTCATCAAAGCCAGTTTGAAACAAAAGTTTTATCTGCATATTATAGATAAATAAATATCAACAATCTAGCGAGCAGCAAGTATAACAATGCTTAAACATTGAGAACAGTGCATTTTCTTGCCTGCTTAAAGATTGTAGACTTCCCTGACTCTCCAGCTCCTAAACAACAGGAACATTGACACATTTAAACAAGTCCAAAGAAAAATAACAAAATCAAGCAATTAAAAGGTTATTGCTTTATGATTCAATAAAATGAGTATGGCAATAATGCAAAGGAACTAGATAGACCACTCAACTAACAGAAGTCAACCAAGATGAATAAGGAACCCAAAAATTATCCTGTTTGATCAGTTATTTCAAAGCCTAAAGGCATGAGTAAACAAATTATTGAAGTTTTTTCAAACAATTGAAACTAGAGACTTAGGGAAACCAGATATCCTCTGTCACTCTAATGTCATGTTAATGACTAACTATCTCTAAAGCTTAAGCTATTTAGGGGAAGACTCACAGATGATTTTATATCTAACATGCATATTAAATTATGAATCATGTATATCTCAATCAGAAGTTAAATAACTTTTTTTTTATATAGTAAAGGACCTTAAACTGCCAAGATTGCAGATTTTTCTGTAGAGAAGACAAAAAACCAAAGAACCAATAAGTAACAGTCACATCTGAGCACTGAGTGTTTTTTGAAAGTTGAAACACTTAAACTGCCAGCAGAAACTAATACAAACAATATTTGCCATTCCTTCAAAATCTGAGGAGCTTCATCACCTCTTATACAATGCAAGATTCCAAAGAATTTTATAAATCACAAAACTAGACAAATTTTAACATTAAAACGAATCATGTATGAATGAGGCATATACAACTACTATAAATGAAAACTGCCCAAGTAAAACATACCAAGTAGTAGAAGTTTCTGAATATGCTTTTCAGCCTTTGTTTCTAATTCTATTCTTCTTTCAATTTCTGCAGCCTGTAAATGCATGTTATATTTACCAAATTAAAGGCCATGTAACATTTAAAAGATTATTAAGAACTTAAAAAGTATGTACTTTGTTGAGCATAATGGACCTGTGCATTTTCTTCAGCATCTGCATCATTATATCGCCGATTTCTGCTACAGAGTAAGCCCATATTTTCTGTTACAAAAGACAGCATAGAAGATGACTAATCAAGCTCCACCAGAAATCACAGTGTTTCAATGCCCTTCTCTAATGCATACATGAATTAGTGGGCTTGATTTCACCTAACCAAAAAACTAGGATAGTGTCAGGAACCAGAACAAGACAAGTGAGAACCCCCTCTCCCAACCCCTCAGTGTGCCCAGGCAAAGGAAGATCTTAAGTCATTTCATAAGTCGATATTCCACTCAACTTGCAATAGCATGCACCATAAACAGTTTCTCAGTCCACAGAATAAAACAGCTGAATAAAGTAAAACGGACTCAGGCACAGCTAGATGGCAGGTTGAACTGAAACAAATTGGCCACATAGCATTTGAAGTTGAAAATTAGTTACTAGGCCAAAATGCTATTTTGAATGGACAATAGGAGATTCTCCACTTTTTCACTTCCGGGGAACAATTTAGTGATCAAATATAAACAAAGCATGAGTGACACAAAGGTGAAAGGCCAAGGCATACACCAATGTACCCAGAGTTCCAGTACCTACAGGCTACAACTTGAATTTTACCATATATTGCTAAGCCCATCATCAGATACAAGCAACCCCATGTTGAGGAAGAGTTAAGAGGATAATTAAGATGTCCAAAACTATGATACAAGTTTACATGACTCATTACTTTGCTGTGTTTTATAGTATGCTTTTAGGGCATCCCCAGAATCATCAAGTTACCAATGTCTTCTGTGCTTAAACTCCCCCATCCATAGCCATACAGAGAAAGTAATCAAATTCATTTGGGCATCCTCTCTCTTCTTTTTTTTTCTTTCCTTTTTTCTTTTTTATGTTATTGGTCAGGTAAGCATCACACCTAAACAGAAACAAATCATTTGAAACATTGAATGCTAATTCTCTCTACACTGAACAAGAAAATTCAGCAGTTCAAACAAGATAAAGGGCATCAGCATGCAAAGCCCAATTAGCCCATTAAAGTTAACACAAAAAAGAGAATCGACTCCAAACCGTCACAAAAACCAAATGCAAGATCAAACAGACACATACAAAAAGAAAATAACACATCCGCTCTCGATCTGAATATGCAAGTCCAACACCAATCACACAGATCTCCTGAGAAAAAAAAAACTCAAACCCAACTTAAATTATGAAGAAAAGGAACGATCTTGAAAGAGAAAGATTAAGAATGCAACAGAAAAACAAGGAAATTACCTGAAAAGAAGCAAAAGGGTATAATAATAAGGTATGGAACTTGATTTGGTTGATGCGTTGAGAGAGTGAAAGCTAGAAAGCAACAACTTCAGTTGGGTGGTTCATTGCACAACATAGGAGAGGAACAAATAGAAGATATAATAATAAACATAAATATAATTAATGTTTTTTGTTTAGTTTAAGGTAATAATTGTATAAAATAATGGAATATGTAGGGTGATAATGGGTACAGAAAACAAAAGAAAGAAGAAGAAGTAATGTGTGAAGAGTGGAGGGAAAGAAAATAGAGATTAAAGAAAAAGAGCGCCGAAAGCTGCGAAGGGTTCTTCCCCTTGGTTTGGCTTCGGTCAAAGACAGAGACAGGAAGGGCAGAGCGATAACACTTTTCTATGTGTCTTCTTGGGAAAATACACTAAGCACACTGTATGTGTATAGTTATAAATGTGAAATTAGAGTCTACGCTGCACTTTAGGACCAAAGTTTGTAGATTTGTAGATAGATAGAGAGGCCAAAGCCAATTTCAAAGTAAAAAGGTTTGTGGTCTTGTTTGTTCTTCCTCTCTTTCAATGCCCTTTTTCTTCCTCCATCATATATATTGTTGGCTCAATTTTTTACTCTTTACTATGCTCATTTAAAGCTTCTGTTTTTCATAGCAAAAAAAAATCTTTTTTTTTTTTTTTTTACTTTTGCAAACCTGGTTTTTCTTAGATAGGTATAGGAATTGTGATAACATAATACTATTTTTTGTATTATTTATGTGAAATACTTATTTTATTGTTATTTTATAAAACACATTATACAATAGTAGTTAAAATAATTAAATTTTTTAAAACTTGATAAGTATTTTTTGGTGTTCTTTTTCCACAAATAGAGTTTTACTTCAATAATATATATATCAACATTTAATGTTGATGTGTTGACTTTTATTATATAACTTAATTGAGGTGAAATTTTAATTCTAATTAGAAAATAATAGAATCATACATATGACGGGTGCATTAAATTTTGTCCTTTTAAAAAATATTGATAATAATATTATTATTTAATATCATTGAACATACATTTACTATCAACATCTATTCTTATTAAATTTTTATTTAAGTTCTTACCAACTACGTTTATTAAAGACAAATGAAAAACATAATAAATACTGTCTAGAAACTATAAAGTGTCATATGAAAAGGACTTTTAAAACATAGGAGGAAGTTTTTTTTTTTTGACTTAATTATAAATAATAAAGATTAACATTTAAATGTGTTAATTGTTAATTTTTATATAGCTTTATATAAATATTATAAAATTTGCATTAATGAGGTAATTATCCATTATATATATATATATATATATATATATATTCATTTGTTTAATACTCTATTAAATTCTATTCATACAAAATAAATAATCAATTGATCAAGACCAATAAAATTATAATTTTATATCATAAATTTATATTGTATTCTAAAATCATCCATAACATTAAATACTTAAATTAGTGACTGTATATTAAATAAATAAATACACCCAATTATTTAGATAATGAGGGATTATCACGTTAATACAAATTTCCAAAAAAATTTAATAATTAATATATTTAAAAATAAATATTTATTTTTTATAAAATTTAAATAAAATTTTGACAATTATTTGTTATAACCATTTTTCTAATGTGTGCTTGAGAATACAGATTTAGAAACAAAAATAGTGGAAAAATATTTTATATATATATAATTTTAGTTCTTTAACAAATGTTTTAAGTACATTCAGTACCTTCTGTTTTTTTTTTCTAAATAATGCATGTTCTCATTTTAATAAAAGTATTATTTTTTTACTTCTTAACAGTGTATCTTTGGATACAAGTTAGAAAAAAAATTTATAAAAAAAAATAGAAGAGATATATAATTTTTGCTGTAATGATTTTTTTTCATCAGCTTTTATAAAAGGTATATAATTTTTATTATAAGCTTTATTGACATAAAATTAATTCCATTTTTTACAATGTTGATTTTTTTCTTAAAGTATAGGTTCAATTAAATTTTGCTTGACTTATAAGCTTTATTCTTTTGTAATTTGTATATTTCTAAATATTGTCCATATTTTTTATATAAGGGTTAAAGTATTTTTTTCTTATGTCATCTCACTCTTATATCCCATTAAAAAGTTTAATAAATCAATTAATTCTTTATTTTTTCCTTATATTTCTAAACTTCAATCTAAATATATATGACTTTATCATTATCTATTTTTGAAGAATTTCTTTATTTTTTAACTTAATTTATACGATTACGTACTAAATTTATTGCACTTACTTGAGTTTCTAATCATTCTGTATTCATATACGTTCCTTTCTTATTATAAAATGTTTATAGAAATAAAATTTTCATATTTTTGATATCTCGACTTATAACTAAATTATTTCCTTATTTATTATTGATACATTTAACTGCATACAAATATCTAGATTTTTTTTAAAAATTATATATTTGTCTTTTAAATTATAATGCAATAAATATTTGCTAATACATTTGTTATTTTTAAATATTTAAAATTATTTCTAAAAATTAAGGTTACTAAAATTGTAAAATAAAAAACTTAAAGTCACTTCCATTAATTTTATTTTATTTTTTGTTTCTTGTGTTGTCCTAACCATTTACCACTATACTCATCACTAATCAACTTATATCATTAACGTAAAAACTTAAGCATGTAATAAATGATTATATTATGTAGATTAAAATTTACTATTAAAATATAAAAAATAAAAGCTATATAACAAAATTTAAACTGAAATTTTAAAATTGAATTTAGCTTTTCGAAATTTTAAAACTTAAAACTAAAAATCACTTCCCTTTAACTTTTTAACTATCCAGTAACATGATTTATGTCATAACAAATGCATATTTGAATAAAATTAAAAAAAAAAGCTTTAATTTATACTTTTTTATTTTTTTTTTGTTTGAGTTATTCATTATAATTTATTTTCCAAAACAAAGAAAGAAAATGAAAGTTTAATTGTTTACTCTTATATCTCGAGGGTCAAAATTATTTTTATCTTTTTTCCATTGTGTTTACATGCTTAAGAAAGAGAAATTGATTTATCATTTGCTTTCACATGCAAATACACGTATTAACATAACTATCAGTGTTGGGCAAAAAACTTTTATCATTTGCTTTTTTAATTAAATTCGTTATTTATTGTTAATAAAATTAATTTACATGATGAGCTATGTTAAATATTTTTAAATGTGTGAATTTAACTATTAAGTAATATAACATCAAAATTAGCTACAAAATAGAAATTGAAAAAACTGGATTAAAACAATATAACTTAGCATTAACAAAATTTAAATAACAGTATTTGAAAAAAAAAAATTTGACATGGAAGTTGTGTGGCACATTGAGAAAGAGAGCGTGTTAACATAAATTTTAATTTGTAAGACTCTATTTAAATATTTAGAGGGAGTGAGAAGAAAATGATTTGAAAGGAAAAGGAAAAAAAAAATCTTTTTATTAAATGTTTAATATTAAAAAGAGCTCAGATGTTTAATTATATAAATAATATTATAGTGTTTTATATTTTTTTATTTATATTTTTTTAAAATAAAAATTAAATATTTTTCTTTCTCTAAAATTTAATAATTTTAAAAAATAATATTTATTTTATAATTTTTAAAAAAATCTCACTTTATAGCGTAAATATAATTAAAAAAAATTATAATCATAAAAGAGTACATTGAGTGATAAGTTGCAATTGAATATTTTGATATTCTTTATGCTTCCAATTTCAAACTTGTGTAGCTCAACACAGTGTAGATTTTCATAAAACAAATTGTGATTGTTTACCTGGTATTTAAAAATAATATATATCGAAATATGATTTTTTTTAAATTAAAAGATTGAAAATTCAAAAATTATCATTGTTAAGTAAATAGATTTAGAAACAAAACGCTTTAAATTTATAAAAAAATATAAAATACTAAAAAATCATCTTAAAATTTTTTTTAAAAATTTAAACTATAAAAAATTAATTTCAAAATTTTTAAAAATTATTTAATTGCCAATAAAAATCGCTATTTAAATTTTTTTCGTATTTCATTTTCTTATAAAAAAAACCATACTTTTGATATTTTAATTTTTTTCATTTTAAAAAAACCCAAAAATTATTCTACATTCTTATCTTTGAGACTTGTGAAACATTGTTTTTCTTCTCACCTATACTAAATTGCTCATGAAAAATGTAAATAGGTCAAATTGTATAGAATTAGAATATCATTGATTAGACATTTGATCAAGATTGAATTGTATGATTGTTGAACGTACTAAATCAAAGCAATGTGATATATGTCCAACTTAGTTAAATTTTTTAAAATAATTTAAAAGTGTTTTTTTTTATTATGTATCCGTATGCATATAAATATCCGTATGAAAATATAAAAAATGATTAAAAAAAATACCCATATAAATTATCCACACACGTATAATCACAATGCAGCTTTACACTACCGCGCTAATCTTTTGAGGGAATAGTTATTCTCTTTTATATAATTTAACAAATTTGATATAGTGTATTTAATGGCTTTACGTAATATTCTAGAAGTACATAATAGACTGTCCCTTAAACATTTAGCATAATAGCACATTATTATTTAATATTAGATCTTAATTCATATTTAATAAATCTATTTTTCATTAAATAAATTTTATTTAACAATAGAAATATAAAAAAAATAAATTATCATTTCTCAATTTTTTTTACCATAGAATTGGTAAAGAGACTTTTAAAAATGTTTAATCAAATTTATTTTGCAAACATCTTTTCTTTAAAATAAAAAAGCTAAGTTAAAATCTACTTGTTTTTATTAAGATGATCTTCTTAAAATTGCTTTATTTTTTTAAAAGTTGTCACATAACAAATTTTTAACAAAAGATAAAAAGTTCTTTGAAGGTATAAATTTTTTCTCTTTTCATTCTAGATACAACGAAGTATTTGAAATAATTATGCATATGTTTTATGATTGTTGATTTACAAAATAGTTCTAAAATTATTTTATTTTTTCTAATACTTAAGTTCCTTTCTTTAACAATAATCTCTCTAAATGACTATTAAATAATTTATCTAAGTACAGTCACCACAACTTCTTAGTTGAATCATGTTATTTAGAATCATTATATGATACATTTAGAATGATAAAAATGTTGTTATCTTTCAACATAATGTTATTTTTACTAAGTCTCTAGTTTATAAGATTATGTGTGATTTTGACTATATTAAAATATGCTGCAGAAAAATTCATAATTATAGTCTTGACAACCTTTAAGAAGCATAGCATAATTAGAGATTGTGTCTCCTCTCATTCTGGTTAGTTAAAACTCAACGTGGATAGAACTATCTTCCAATATTATAGAAGGGTTAGTTGTAGAGAATTAATATATGATAGTGAAGACTATATTTAAGTCTTCACCCTTGCTCCTCTCTTGCAGCTGAACTTTGAGAATTTTTTTTGGGACCGAAACTTGTAATTCAAGAAGACATATGCCCAATTTGAGTAGAAACTATTTCTAAGGAGCCTATCCTTAGGTTTGAATATTAAGTAAATTTTTATTAAAGTGTATTCCCTTTATTAGATCTAACCACGTTGCGGAAGAAGCCAATAAACTAGTCAAAATATGTCGCACGGGTTCTTTACCTGCTAAGCCAAAGGGGATCCAAAGAGACCAAAAGTGAAAGTTGAGGCCGTTGGCGAAAAGAAGCGCCAGGGGGGGAGAGAGTTGTTGGAAACCCTTCCTTTGAGTCCTAAGAGTAATTCAAGAAGTTTTAGAAGCCAGAGATCAGTTTCGCGCGTGTTATTTAACTACTAAATAAAAGGGGGTCAAAAGAGACCAAAATTGGAAGTTGGGGTCATTGGCGCAAGAAAGCGCCAGGAGGGGAGAAAGTAGTTGGTAACTCTTTCCTTGAGTCTTAGTAATGACAATCAAAAAGTTTTAACGGTCTGCACGAATATAAAAAAGAATGTTCACTTTTCATATTTTTTATATAGATCTCCATTCTTATTTATTTTTATAAATCTATACTCTTTAAATAAATATATGGATTCCTAAATCTTCTATATAAGTTCCTCTATTTTTGTTAGACTTATTAACCTTTTAAATAGTAAGAAAAAAAAAAACTGCTAAACAAAACAAAAGAAATATTTTGAGAAAACAAGGTTTTAATAAAAACTTAAAAAAATCAATTTTAAGAGTTTTTGACTTGTACTCTTTCTTTTCTCTCTTTATTTAAAATTCCACAATCTAATAACATATTACCCAAAGAAAAATTTAACTTTAAGAAACAAGTTTTAAATTTTAAAAATTATAAAATTATCAATTCAATTATAACTTTGAATTTAAATTTTTTATTTAAAATATTTTTAAAAAAATAGCTTCAATATTTCTTATGTTCTATTTTTCAAGCAAAATAAATAAGTAAGTAAATATATATATATAAAAAGACTTGGGGGGAGAAAGAAGGATAAACCCTGGAGCTTGAAACTGCTCCTGGCAATAGGAGATGGTGGAAGAAAGGCAATTGGTGGGTTGAAGTGCATGTTTTCTTTCCGCAACTTCCTTGAAACAAATGGTGGATCTCACTTGTACTAACACAACCTTTTGTATAAGCAAAAACCCCCCAAAATAGGCACTGCAATGGCATCAGGGGACCCAAAATTACCACCCCAATCCCAACGGTTGCAAATTTATCCCAATTTAAATTCTGGGGTCTCCTCTTTCTGGAGAGGTATCTTTCTCCTTCTCTCTCTCTTAAGTGCAATAAGACCACCCCAAATGTAAAAAAGTTTAAATTTTTGGTTTTTGTTTGCAGAAAAGTATGAAAGAGAAGCCAAGAGGTATTGGGATGTTTTCTATAAGCGCCACAAGGACCGAGTTAGTTTTCCCACTTATTATGTTTGTGTTCTCTGTTAATGCAAATTTTGTGTGTTATTCAATACTACTTGGTTTCCTCGTTTGTGATTTTGTGGTGTCGTTTGATATAACTGGATCACTTACCAAGTTTTAATTTTTGAAGTCTCTTTGTTTAATTTTCAAGGCATTTTCTATGTGTAATTTGACTTCAGTGATAATACCTTTCTTCAGTTTTTCAAAGATCGGCACTACTTGGATAAGGAATGGGGCGATTACTTTTCTGTGAGTGAAAGGAAATAGTGTCTTGATTTTTTTTAGTTTGATTTGTGTTTTTCTAATGTGTTGCTTGCTGTGCTAATGGTTTAAATGGTTTTTTATTATCAGGGAGGAGGAAGGAAAGTGATTTTGGAGGTATATTTGGCCAGATTTTACTCTTTCTGCTTCCATGGTTTATAAGTTTTTCATTTAATTGAATCAATAATCATAATGGTGAGCATATATGCATGCTACAATGTTGCTGTTGGATTATTTTGAAAGGATAATTATTGTGGCCTTTAGTTTTGCATGGAACGGACTGTGATCACGGAGATAGAACCTTCCCACGTTTGTTTTTTTGTCTTCTATTCATCATTTGTGATGGTCACTTATTGATGAAGTTCATGTTCTGATTATGCTTCTTTTCAGGAGGCCTTTGCTCTAGTATGTTTCTTAATGTGTTATGCTGTTTGCTAAACAGGCTGGCTGTGGAGCTGGAAATACTATCTTTCCCGTGATAGCATCATATCCAGATGCTTTTGTTTATGCATGTGATTTCTCACCACGAGCTATTGAATTGGTTAAGGTTGGAAATATCCTTTTTTGTAGACTTTGTATCCAATTATCAAATCATCATCATCTGTTTGTGTATATGCTTGTTTGCTTCTTGACTTAGATGTATGCTTCTTGATTTGTTCTGGGATCTATTTGTGAAATCATTTCTGGAAAGATTTGTCATGCAAAAAAATGTAAAATCCATACGAGTGTATGTAACATTGGTCTAAATCATGTTTTGTCAAATAGACAGACCTTGGGGAAGCTTTCCTAATTTGTGGTCTTTAATGCTACATTATGGGTATAAATTGTGGAAGTGACCTCTTTTACACAGTGTATCCGTCGGGATGTAGGTTGAATTTTGCAACTTTTGACCCTTTAGAATGTTCCACCTTGTAGTCTTTCACAGTTCAACTAACTTTAGAACTTATGAGTTCTTATTTCTCTTATGATAAGAGGGCATACTTTATGTTTGCTTAAAAGGAAGGAATTTGCATTGCTTATATCTTTCTTTATACAATAACAAGAACAAGAATTGCACTGCTTTATCTTTATATAGATCTAACAAGATCAAACTTGTTTTCTTTATTACAGACACATGAAGACTTCAAGGAATCCCATGTTAGTGCTTTTGTCTTCGATTTGACAGCTGATGATCTTTGCAAAGAGATTCTTCCATCGTCTATTGATATTGTTACAATGGTATCTGAAATTCTGAATGGCAATTTAATTTTTTAAAGTTTATGTGGAGTGATTATGGGATTGCATTTGCATTTTTTGTTGTTGGAAGCTATCATGTTCTTGCCTTATTTCAGATAACTTTTGTGCTCTTATTATTGAGAAATAGTCTTGTCTCTTGCTTAAGTAGCTGACATTGTAAGCAGATATTTATGTTGTCTGCAGTGTCCCCAGAAAAGATGCCTCTAGTTTTGCAAAATGTTAGAAAAGTTATCAAGGTAATAAATAATTCATTACATTTTCCAGATGCCTTGCTAGATAACTTTTTTGCATGAGATGAAAGTCATACCCTTTCTACATTTGCAGCCAAATGGATATGTGTTGTTCCGAGACTATGCTACTGGAGACCTTGCTCAGGTGGATTTTGTTGTGCTTTATCTTTTTAACTCTTCTGTTAGAAATTAGAAAGTGGATGATTGTTATCCTGATTATTTTCTTCTGATAATTATTTAGCTATGATGATTGGAAAATCCAAATACAATTCTTATTGTTTTAATATTAATTATTAAATCCGTTTAAAAATTAATCTCTGTACTTTCAGCTGTGATTATTCTAAGGTGGGGAAATTCCATACTGCATCTTTTTTTGTTGGGCTAGGGGATAAAATATGCCAGTTTGATATGATTCAGGAGATTATGTCTCCTGTGTACTTATACAACTAAAAGTAACCCTACTCAGTGTAAAGCTGATAGACCCTTGCTCCATAACTAAAATATGGTAAATCATCAAACAAATTAGCATTACAATTTTATCAATTCCTTTGTTGGAAAGGAAAATTATTTGACTATCAAATTTTGATTGATGGATTTTGATAAATAATAAATAGTTAGTTACATTAGTGAGTTGCAATCAACAGTTCAGTGAAGGGTGTCACATGTATAAATAAGAAAAGGGGCAGAGAGGGAGAGCTATCTTGTTATTTGTGAGAGAATTGGGGCTATTGGGCATTGCCGCATTTGGAGGTGCAGTCCCTCAAAGTTTTGCAAGTTAGGCACTGTATTCAAGGAAAAATTCCCTTGTTCTTTCTAATAAGATACAAAGTCTATCAGATTTTTATTTTTATTTTTTGCTTGAACAATTGATGATTTGTGTATTTTTTAATATTCTATAGGAAAGATTCTCTAACAAGGATCAAAAGATTAGTGATAACTTTTATGTTAGAGGTGATGGCACTGTAAGTTTTCAGTTCTTCCCTTGTTATCTTGTAACTTAGCTCACATGTGCCTTTCTTCTTTTCTAATATGATACTCCTTTTGTTTCTTTCCAGCGTGCTTACTATTTTTCAAATGAGTTCTTGACAAATTTATTCAAAGAAAATGGTTTTGATGTTCACAAACTTGATGTATACTGCAAACAAGTCGAAAACCGCTCAAGGGAGTTGGTAATGAATCGGTAATATATTATATTACAAGTTCCCTTTGCTTATTTTTATATGGCAAAATAGTTTTATATAAGTCGTGTTTTTGCTTCCGGTAACCTATCATATAATATGCTTTCTTCTTGAACTTCTGTGGGTTAGATTTTAGCACTATGAGATTTCATTAGTTTGCCTTCACCCATTGTCTCACACAAAGGGGGAGGAGGGATATCTTCTTCTGACTCTAATAATTCCGTTTTATACTCCTATATTTGTTGCTTTCAGGCGGTGGGTCCAAGCTGTATTCAGCTTATCAGATAGTTCCAACTCTTCTTCCAGTAAAGAAAATGAGACTAATCATCCTGATAGAGATAATGTTCATAAGAAAATCAAGCAAAATAATTTGATTGGTGGTTCAAATGACTCTGCAATTGATTTGTCTGAGGGTGTGGCAATGGACATGTTTGGAGTCTTACCTTCCAGTGAGTATGAGGTAAGGCTCTCTCACCTTTGTTTGGTTGTTACTGGTTCTCTTAAGTTCTAACAAATTTTCTGGGTGTTTGAACGTATCCTGTTCAAGCTTGCTTCTTTCAGATGTTCTACAAAATTTGAATATCTGCTGGCAGTTGTGATGGCCTTTTTTCTTTTCCCTCTCTAGAAATCTCTTTTTAACATTGATTTTCTTATGTGCACAAATGTTTTCCCTTTTCATCATTTGAGTTTTTTGTGTTAGGTTATTGAGATCAACCTTAGAGGCTGGACTTTCAAGATTAGTTTACTTTCAAAAGAGTACCAACACACCTGCAAATCAACAGGATTGATGCTGTGGGAATCGGCTCGGTTGATGGCTTCTGTCCTTGCCGAAAACCCTAATATTGTTGGAGGGAAAAGGGTCTTGGAGTTGGGGTGTGGCAGTGGGGGAATCTGCTCTATGATTGCTGCTAGATATGCTGATCTAGTAGTTGCTACTGATGGAGATAGCTTTGCACTTGACCTACTGGCCAAAAATGTTGCATCTAATGTTGAGTCATCATTGCTGACTAAACTAACCACAAAAAAACTGGAGTGGGGAAACGAGGACCACATGGAAAGCATAAAGGAATTGAGTAATAGAGGGTTTGATATCATCATGGGCACAGATGTGACATATATTCCTGAAGCTATATTGCCATTGTTTGGAACTGCAAAAGAACTGATTGCTTCCAATGCAAGCAATGAAAATGATAATGTTCCTGCACTTATTCTTTGCCACATATTTCGCCGTGTAGATGAACCAACCTTACTTTCTGCTGCAGCACAATTTGGGTTCAGATTAGTAGACAAGTGGCCTTCTGAAACTTCAACCAATTTTTCTCAAAGCATTATTGGCAATTGGTTTATGGACAATAGTTTAAAGGATGATCTTCCTAGTACAGCATTAAACATCTTACTATTTTGCAAAGAATGAAGTTCAGTTCAGTATCTAGCTTCAATGCAAGTTGGTTTCTTGATTCTTCTCTTCATTATACCAAGTGAGAAGTAGAATGCAAATTCCTACTTGATTCATTTAAGTGCTCAACAATCCTTCTGGGCTCATTTGTAGAAGTTATGCTATAAATTTTGATGGAGGGTCGTAGAAGAGAGTTCTGTGTACTTTTATTTTATTGTTTTTTTAAATTTTCATTGTTTTGCTCCCCCCTTGGGATGCCATATATATGGACCTAGGTTGTTTTGCCCCCTGCATCATTTGCTTGGAAATGCAAAGGCCTACTTTTTGTTTAGTAATTATGATTGTCAATTTCGGTTTCTAAGTGAGATTTTGCTTTAGTCTTTTAGCCGAGTCATTAACCGGAAAAGGTGGCAACAAGCACCAGACAATTTTGCATTTGAACCTTCGTTCTACATAGTAACATAGCCATCGCAAGCTACTTTAAACTAAGAAATAATTTAAATGGACGGGCTAGAATAAAACACAAATGAAGATGTTTGCTTCTTTCACGTTTTGCTTTTAGCATGACATGACTTTATGCAACACTTGTGTTTAGACTATTTTTACACAATTTTTATAAACTCAGTTAAAAATTGTTAAGATTCGAATGTTATTGAATAAATCATAGCAGTAAAGATCATATATCTACCTAAGATAATTTCTTTACAAAAATTCTAGTTGTTTTTTTAATTGTTTCCTTTACGGATAATGCGCTCAAAAGGAGCATATGGCATATATTGCTAATGGTATTTTACTATTTTTAATTTTTTATCCAACAAGTCCATTAAACCAATGGAAGTTACCCCCTTCCTCCATACGGCTGAAACCTCACAGAAATTACAAAGGAATGAAAACAAGGACCACTAAAGCAACATAACTATTAAATCCAGCACTAGCACATTAACTTTCTTTTCACTCAAATTGAAGCATTATATTTGACTCTTTTTGTTATAAAAAGACTAAAAAGAAGCCTTTAGTAGATATGTTCATTTTCTATGAGCAGTTTATTCTGATTTGCACGCTCATATTCTTCGGTTCAATATTTGCATAGGGCGCAGGTCACTATATGTAGAATTTACCTTTATATTACAATAATGTGTGTAGTCTTCCCATGAAAATTCCTTTGTATAAATACTAAGCAATAAATATTTTTTAATCTTTAGCAGCATAAGGTTAATTACCCGAAGAAAAAGAACTAGGTTATTTGGATAAATGAGAAAGATGAGGCAATCTCAATTTAAGTTTTAAAATTCATCAAGTTTCTTGCTAACATATATAGATCTAATGTCTCGTAGCATATTGCATCTTTGAAACTTTTTGTGGTTCCTTTTGCTTATAATGAGTGCAATATTCTTTTGGGGATGAACAATGATGAAATGTTTTAATTGATTTACTTTATATTATTTTTCTTACGGCTGTGCAAATATTTGTGAATTTTTATATCATTGAAGGGTTTAACAAAAAAGAAAGGAATATTTGAAAGGTTAAAATTTTGTTAATGATGTAATATTATATGATAGATGAAACATAATAATATAAAAATAACTGACGTTAGATCAAGTTCTTCTTATTATTATTTACGAAACCAAAAGCATATTGTTCATCGGCTGATCAGAATTCATGCTATGTGGAAAAAGGAAAAATATGGAGTTCAATTCAAAATATATAATAACATAGGACACATAAAATTAATTACATTCCCATTAATATTGCTCGTTTAGGAACACTGTTTATTTAGATAAACTGATATCTTTTACACAAAGATGAAAGATCTTATGACATGCAGAATGGCACTGCCATCAAGAAGACAAATGCAAACTTCTTTTATTTAGATTATGCTTCTATTTTATGTTGATATTTGGAGGCTCACCATCAGCTAGAGGGAAAAATAAGTCTCTTAAATGAGTAGTAGTATAAATGAAATAACCCTTGTGCATATAACAAGTTAGAATTAATTATAAATGGACTGGTGTTTTATTTAAATTGGAATCATGTTGTTAATAATATACTTTTGTGAGAGAAATGAAAATGAAAGCAATGAAAAGAGAAACATTAACATTAACAATTGTCAAAGATAGACAAATTGTGAGCTTCTGATCCCTAGAGACCTTTGTCCTTTCGCCCTCAGTGTAGGGTTACACGCGCAATTAACATCAAGTTGATGCCAAACGATTTAATATAAATGCCTTTTTGTTAACATGTACTGGCACATATATTGATCTAATTAAGTATTATGCATTATTGTACATATATACGTATATATATAAATCTTTCTTATCCATGTCATTACTCATTTCTTTAAAAATCAAATAATTACATAATCAATTATTAGGCAACAAGAAGATAATTTAACCCCAGCAAAGCTCTTCCTTTTTTTCTTTTCACCTCAAGTATATAGAAAATACACATTGTTTAATTTAATTTTCCATCATTGAAGCTTTTGCTGGAGGATTTCAATTGACCGAATTCCTTTTCTTCAAATAGACTTTTCACAACCTGGAAGGGATGAGAACTTACGTTTTAGCTAACAAATTAATGTAAGGTGTTGAAAACAGTACTACACGTCTTAGAACCATATAGTATCTAGCACGGAGGTAATCAATAACTTCACCACAAAAATATAAAACTTGATTGTATGATGCAAAACAACCTAGGTCCAGAAGGGATGATGAAATTATTTTTCAATAAGAAAAATTTATTAATTCATGGAAATAGAAGGGATACTCTAATCATTACAAGTTAATAAACATTCCAAACAATCAAACACTCGAGACATTATCTTAACCAAACTGATTAATACACTCCAAAGAACTAATACACCGCCCAAAAAGAGATATGAGCAGAAACTAGTTAATACTGAACTGAGATTGTGACCTAAATTTAATTAAATCTATATCACCACTGCAAAATCAAAATGTTCATTACTAAATAGGTTCCCATTTCGTGACTACCGCAAAATTCATATCATTGCTACAATTTAATCACTTCTTCATCATGTACTCTCCAAACCCTAAAAGACTTTGGGATAAAATCAAATTTACGGATAAAAAAATTAAGAATGACTTTTGTATAAACTGTTATTGCGCAGTATAGACCAAAAGATCAGATGCTATAGATTTTTCCAGATGATTTAATAGTCTTCATATAATAAACTCTTAAACTTCACAATTGTAGGTTGACTGAGAGCATAAGATCAAAATTCGTCAACCAAATTAAGTATACTCACAAATTAATAGTTAATTATACCTGTGAAAATAGGTTCTCTATTCAAGCGCACACGTGCCTCAGACAAGAAGAAATAGAAAATGCTTTTCATGAGAAGAAGGTAAGGTACATCAGATAAGCATGCTATATAAGAAGTATCTTTTATAGGTAATAGCTAACAACATATGGAAAAGACATGATGTCTCTTATTATTGAATCATATGATTGCAAAAGTCTAAGTTGCTAGCTAGGGTTACTTCTAGCATATGAAGGGAGGGTAATTAAGAAAAGAAGAAACAAAAAATAGATATATAATAGCTAGCAGAAAGTGAAAAAGGATAGAACAAAATGGTGATGGGGTGACAGATAGAGAGTAAGCACACATAGTTTCAAGCATGAAGCGTCATCATCCAAGAAAGTACCATGTGTGCTCACTCTCTTCTGTCACCTCCCTTACCCTTAATCTCCATAGAATTAATCAAATCTGAAGTGTATCACAGTTCCTTAAACCTGCAATAATTGGATCAGATTAAGCTAATACACCCATGCTTTTGAAATGGGTTATTGAAGAGTTAGAGGGAGAGAACAAACTAGCTAGGCCTTAATTTATCTCTCTATATTAATTGACTCAAAAACTGTTCCCTTTCTACGGAACAAAATACAAACTTGAATTTTTCTTGTGTGAAGAAGTGAAGGGGAATGCAGGGGTTTATATAGAGCCAGAAAGAGAGGAATTGCTTGCGTAACGTATAGAAGGAATAAATGTGGGGTTTATCTTCCATTGTTCATTCTATAATAATTTAAGTGTTATAATGAAAGGAAAAAGAGAAATTAGAAAAAAGTAAGTGTAAAAACTTTATCTTTATGATCTCTACAGCCATATGCAGCAACCCCAACCACAAGTTTCTTTATTCTTTGACGTAACCAACGGTCTTATAAGCCCTAGTGGTGCAGGTTTGGGCATTTTACATGAGTTTAATTTTCATTGATAATTTGTCATTACGCTGCTAAAAGAAGTTTCTAAGGCATCTTGTTATCTAAATCAATTAAAAATGTTTGTTTTTCATCCCAAGCTTTTTAGGAGTCTGAAATGGGGGTAGATTCAGAGAAGAGAGATAAAAAAAGATTATAGCGAGAGATGTAATAAAAATAATGGAACGAGACACCATCTCTTCTCCCTAAAATTTATAACAGATAAAGCTCTTAAAAAATTATATGGTTGATGTGAAATAAAATAATAGTATTATAAATATTAGTAGTACAGTTTTAATATTTTATATATAGGTTTAATTAAAATTCTAACTCCACTCTCTTTTTCAGTCAAACCTGTATGAAATTCATCCAATAATAACACATTAATTAAAAATAGGCATCAAAGAATGTATTATTACTTTTACTTTTATCTATATTCCATAACCAATAAGGTTAGTCTTATCATCACGTCTTAAAGACATCGATTAAATAATATTTTAAATATTTTATTATAAATATATAGTTTATAGATATAATTTATAACTTTTATAAGTTGATAGCTGATTTTAATAAGTTTCTTAATATGATTTATTAAAGTAAGTTATGTTTCGTTTATTTTTAATATAATTATTGAATAAGTGTTTAAATAAATTGTGTATATTTTATTAATCATTTTCAATTACTTGCCATATTTTTATATAATGAATATATTTTTTAAAAATATTCTTTAAGTTACTTCATTAATTAAATTTCATCTTTAATATTTTTCTTTTGTTTCAGACCTTCAATCTTTTTTTTAAAAAAATTAATCTCAATTAAATCGAGTCTACGTAGAACTTATGCCCTAAGTTAATTAATGTTTGCCTAAAACTAATCACAATTTCTGGGTGGTTTAACTTGCGAAAGATCAATGGCCAAATAATTAGCTAATTAACATATGATTAACCCATGAATTAGTGCTTGTCAGTGTTGCCCGTTGAGCGCTTCTTAGCTAGAATATGCTAATTTATCGATCTTTAAATTTTTAGTGATGATACACGCCATTAAAAGCTGCTAATGTAGATATCATATATATGACACCGGTCAAATAAGTGACAATTATACGATGTGCTTAATTTACAACAATCCCATGAGATATTTTG